TAGAGTTGGCCTGCTCCTACGTTCTCTGCTGTAAACTTTGTGTTTGGTTCAATTCTTTCTCCTGATCACCAAGAACCTGGTTACCTGTGCCCACCTGCGACAGGAGTAGTAGATCATTTAGGCATTTCTTTGGTGTAGGGGTGTTACCGAACAGAGGTCAGGGGGGTAATATTTGGCCCACCTAGGGATGCCAAAAACTGCTACAGAACAACAGGGGCTCCTCCCAAGGACAGAACACTAATATCTACTGGGCTCTTCTGTCCGCCACCAATTGGAAAGATATCTCTCAATGCCAGAGATTTGTGAAAAGGAAACAAAATATTTAATTCTATTCAGGCCTAATGCCTCCACTAAAATACCAAAGTCTTTTAGGGTATACACCTACACAAACACAGCTCTCCCTTCTCCCACTGTCCCAACTCTGGGTACTGTAAATCAGTAAAAGAGCACATGTCTGATTTTCTAGGCCACTGGTATCGTCAGCTGTGTTGACCATCAGACAGGATTTCTAGTAAATCCAAAGTACTGTGGTACCCTCTCATGGTCCACTGGCAAGAGTTCTTTGTACCAAGTTTCAGTCAAAGTCTCTCCTGCTTTCCAGGCCATGCGGCCAAAGGGGGCACCCCAAGGCCGAGTGGGCCTCTTCTACCAAAGCTGCAGGGGTCCGCACTCCACCAAAAAAGAGTGTCTTTCTTCTTCACCTGGAGGCAGGGGTATGGACTCTGGCCAAAACCACATAGGTCTCTCTTTTCATGGCTGCCACATCCGGGTTTAAATCTCTGCGCCCATTCTTTTTTGAAGCCCCATTCCAACTCCTCCTGATACGGGAAACTTTGAAAAACCTCTGTTTAACCTTTATTTGCCCAGGCTCCAGGCACCCTAGAGAGAATGATGAGGCCATCTGAGAAAGCAAATAGCTGGATAGGGCGGGAACTAGCACCCCTGCTGGGAAAGCAAGTAGCTGGATAGTCAGTAGGATTGGGACTAGCACCCCCGCTGATAGAACAATTAGCACATTCTGCTTCTGTATCCCACTTTTGTCACGTGGACAGGAAGACCCCGTAGACTATATAAACCCCAAGAATCCTTTGTTCGGGGCTCAGAATTTGGAGACTGACTCCTCTGGGCCCGTGCACGTTAAACAATAAACCTCATACTCCAGAATCCCTCGGTGTCTGGTTGCTTCATTTTCCTATAACACTCCTACAATCAGTTACACCTGCCAGTATTTCTGTATTATTACAAGTTTACTGGGATGCCATCATTAGTCTGCGCAGGTATGGCCCCATGTCATGGAGCCAATCAACTCCAAGCTCCCACACAGGCGCTGTAACTCAGGGTACCAGCCCCCAGTTACATCCTGGGTAGAAGCCACTCCCTTTTCCCTGGCTCAAAGCATGGCCACAGCTATTTAACATATCTATGAAACCAGTTAAAGGTTATAGATATGTTAAATGACCATTCCAGAGGTTAGCTGCGAAACTGTTGCTATGCAAAACAACTTTCAATGGCTCTGCTCCATTTGTCCCTTCCCCCAACTGACACCTGGTGGGGAAGTGAGGACATCTTAATATTTCCTGGACACTCTGAGCTCTGGATCCCATCCCAAATTCTTTTCTGGGGCCCCCTCTTGGCTGCGCCCTGTTACAGGGGTTAAGGCGCTGGTTCTCAGTGTTGGCTACAGAATTAAATGATGTGGACATTTGGAAAATTACTGTTACTGGTTCAAGGTTCCTGTGCCTGATGCTTCAAAGTCCAATATCCAAACATGAGTTTGAAGTAAGGAAAGGTTTGTTGATAAAGAAGATGGGGTTGCCTCATAGCTTCCACAAATCTATCTCAAGAGAGCCTAGAATTTAGGTACCTTTTATGTCAATGGAAGAGTGGGGGGCTGGGATGAGAGGTGGGTGAGGATCTTAAACAGCTGGGTACAGAAGAGACCCAAGGAAGAGTGGAAAATCAGTAAATCTCTTTGTTCCTGGCTGGTCAGTTGACCCTCGCTAATCTGAGTCCAGCATTGAAGCTACTACATATTTTTTCAAACAGTCATTATTTTGTACTTATTTCTCTACTTCTGGAAACATGCCTTCAGACAAGGGGCTGTTCTTGCAACAGCTCAAGCCTCAAGAAGAATTTCACTAGTTGAAGAACGAATCTGTAGCTGGAGCTATTAGCCTGAAGGTCATGGGAGAAATGCAGGCCAGAATTAGGATAGAGTCAGAGAGGGCAAGCATTCCACTTTATTATTCCCCTATTGCTTTGTTTCCTCTTTTGAGAGATTCGATGTAACTAGTATAAAGTACAATAAGGGTATTTCTAAAAGCTTCTCAGTAATTCACATGCGCAGCCAAAATTAAGAACAATTGGGACAGAACATAGAAGGCTCTTAAGTTTTAACAGTTTTTGTTCCACATGCATGCATCCATTTTCAGGAGTTCTTAAAAACAGTCAGTATGCTTGCCAGGAACTGTTCTCAGTACTTGACAAAAGTAGACCCTTATAATGCTCACAATAAGTCCACAAGAATGTTCTTACTATTTTCCTCACTGGATAAATAGGAAAATTGAGACACAGACTGTGAATAATTTGCCCAGGCTATATCACAGGAATGGCAGAGCTATTAATTGAACTGAGGCAGCCTGGCTCCAAAGTCTTCATTCTTATTTGCTTTGCTATAAAACTTCTATTTATGGAGTCAGAAGATAAGCGACAACCCGCCTGCTTTCCACATTGCCAAGTCAAGGGGTGGCAGTTGGACTGCTTGTTGGACTTCAGGTTTTCCAGAAAACCTGATCTGAGCCCTAATAAGAAGGAAAAAAAGGGGGGGGAGGAGGGAGGAAGAAAAGAAGGGAGAAAGAAAAAGAAATTAATTAAAGGAGAAAAAGCCTATATAGGTATCAGAGGGGAGATCATAAACAGACAATAACCCACCCCCAAAGAAAACAAATTATATGTATTAGAAAAACACTTACTGAAATTCGAATACAGTAAAGAAAAATTGCTAGAGATGTAAAACACAGGAATCCCCAACTAAATATGTTGGTAGATAAATTGAAAGAGATTGGTCACTGCAATGGCCTAAAAAGTAAAGCAAGTGTAAGAATGCTCTCAAAGTGCAACGTAAAAATAAAGAGAAATGGCAATCAAGAGAGAAGACATAAGCAATAAGAAGAGAGACATGAGACCTAGCATATACTGCATTTTATTCCCTTCTTTATACTTTATATGTAATATTTGTATTTTACTTTTCTACATATCTTTTTCCATATCTTAGCTGGTTTGATTATGTTACTATTTATTCTATGTTCCCTTCTCTTCAGTAGTTCTAGTACATTTAAAATCATTTTTAGTTCTATCCCACAAATATTAATGTATAATTCTCTTCCAAAATTTAGCAAATAGAATCATGTATATATGATGCATATATGATATATACATACATATCAAATAAGCTCAAACAAGATTTGTTTCAGGAATGCAATAGTGTTTGAACATCAGGAAATCTACCAACACAATATATTACTATAACAATTAAAGAGTAAAAAACATATGGTGACAGCAATAAATGCAAAAAGGTTATCTGATTAAATTAATAGACATACTAATAAAAACTCTAAGGGTTGGGGTTCTTGGGTTCCCCCAAGATGGGCAGACATCGAGAGGAACTGTGGGAGACAGTGCAGGACAGGGTTCCCGACTGGCTCTCTGAGGGGCTGTGTTGAGTTGTTTTTAGTAGGCTGGAGATAAGGCTGGCTTGCATGAAGACTGGGTGCGGCGGGGTTTGTCTTCTGTGTCAGGGACAGACCACTTCCTCCTACCTTTGAATTGCTGAGCACCAGCCTCCGCGCCTGCGCTGTGAGGGCAAGATGGCACTATTGCTTACTATCGCCACCCCAGAAAGGTGTCTGGGATCAAACCTTATTCCAAAGCACCTGCGGGGCAGTGGGCTTAATATCTGCAGTGGGGTAAGCAGTTAGAAGGGAGATAAGAATAACTATTTTTGCATTTTTCATAGGAAGTGGTGAGCTGGTTGCATTCTTGTGGTCAGCTTATCTGGAGTTCCTTCTGGCCATCTGGCATGCCTTCAGCCTGTGCCTAAGTCCTGTGAGGTCTCATAAGTATAATAGATGTCCAAGGAAACTACCAAAGTATAAGAAAAACAACAACAAAAAACTATTATTTGGAAATGTGCAAGTAGTATTCTAAATAGCCAACTAAGTGGACAATTTAAATTAAAATCAGAAAATAAGCATAGAACTATAGTATCACCAGCTTTATTCAACATTATCTTGGAAGTACTGATAAATACAATAAGCTATGATCAATTTTATGAAAAATTGTTCTTTTATGTTCTTTTACATTTTAAGTGATTTCCTTTGGTTGGTGACATTACATATGCAGAAAACCAAAGAGATCCAATAAAATGTTAGTAGAATTACAACAAGAAATTACTAAGTTGTCTATATATCAAAGCAATTCCAAATTCAGTAGGTTTTTCAATTTTCTGGTAACAAGTACCTAGAAAAGAAAAATGAGAAAGATACTCTATATTCCATTCATAATAGTGAAAAAAACTATAAAATGCTTAGGAATAAATTAATTAAAAATAAAAAACAAAGCCCTGGCTGGTGTAGCTCAGTGGATTGAGCGCAGGCCTGCGAACCAGACAATCGTGGTTCGATTCCCAGTCAGGGCACATGCCTGGGTTGCAGGCCAGTTCCCTGCAGGCCAGTTCCCAGCAGGGGACGCCCTAGAGGCAACCATACATTGATGTTTCTCTCCCTCTCTCCTTCCCTTCCCCTCTAAAGATAAATAAATAAAATCTTATAAAAAATAAAAATAAAAATAAAAAAACAAGTCTATAAAATATTATTGGTAGGCATAATATAAACATATTAGACCTGAAAAAATAGGAAGACATTATATTCTTTGATAGGAAAAGGTAGCATAAAAATAGCATTTTCCCAAAAGTAATATATTAATTATTTTTCATCCTAATTATGGTCACTATAGAATTGGATAAAATTTTAACATTGATACAAAAAGTTAAATGCTACAGAAGAGCAAAGAAGATTATGAAATTTAAGAACAATAAAGTGGTCCCTGGCCAGTGTGGCTTCGTTGGTGCATGGTCCTGTTAAACGAAGGATCATGGGTTTGATCCCGGTCGGAGCACGTAGGAGAGGCAACCAATCAATGTTTCTCTCATACATCAGTGTTTCTCTCCCCCTCTTCCCCACTCTCCCTAAAATCTATAAGCACGTCCTTGAGTGAGGATTAAGAAAAAAACAACAAAGTGGAATTTTGTCTTATTACATTTTGAACATTTAATAGAAATACTCTATGAAATCCATATGCTACTATAATAGGAAAAGATAAAAATGTCAATAGACTCAAAGGTAAGAAGACACATACAAAGGAATTTAAGGTGACAGATTAACTAGAGGATGCATTTTGTTTTTATTATGGTAGAAAGCATTTAACGTTAAATTTACCCAACTTAATTATTTTTAAGTTCAGTAGTGTTAATTGTTGGGCAGAAGATCTCTAGAACTTTTTCATCTTGCAAAGCTGAAACTTTACCCACATTCTTTCCCCCTCCCCTTAGCTTTTGACAAACACCTTTCTTCTTCTTTATGTATCCATGATTTTGACTAGGTACACTGTGTGAGTGGAATCCTCCCGTATCTATCCTTTGTGACTGGCTTATTTCGCTTAGCATATCTTTAAGGTTCCTCCATGTTGGAGTATGTGACAGGATTTCCTTCTTTCTTTAAGGCTGCATGATATTTCATTGTCTATATATACTACATTTTCTTTATCTATTACTCTGTCAGTAGGCACTCAGGTTACTTCAGTCTCTTGGTTATAGTGAATAATACTTCAGTGAACATGGCCATGCAAATATCTCTTAATGATCTTGCTTTGAATTCTTTAAAAAATTTTTATATTTTTATTTTTAAGTATCCTTTATTGATTATGCTGTTGCAGTTTTCTCAATTTTTTGCTCCCTTTTATCCCCTCTCTGCTCTGTACCCCCCAACCCTCCAGCACTTCCCACCCCCTTAGTTCATGTCAGTGGGTTGTCCATATAAGTTCTCTGGCTTTTCTGTTTCCTATACCGTTCTTAACCTCTCCCCATCTATTTTGTGCCTACCAATTATGCTTCTTATTCCCTCTACCTTCCCTTCTCATTCTCCCCTTCCACCTCCACACTGAAAACCCTCTATGTGATGTCCATTTCTCTGATTCTGTTCCTGTTCTAGTTGTTTGCCTAGTTTTTGTTTTCGTTTTTTAATTTTTAGATTCAGCTGTTGATAGTTGTCAGTTTGTTGCCATTTTATTGCCATAGTTTTGATCTTCTTCTATTTCTTAGGTATGTCCCTTTAACATTGCATATAATAAGGGCTTGGTGATGATGAACTCCTTTAACTTGACCTTATCTTGGAAACACTTTATCTACCCTTCCATTCTAAATGATAGATTTGCTGAATGCAGTAATCTTGGATGTAGGTTCTTGCCTTTCAAGACTTTGAATACTTCTTTCTGGTCCCTTCTTGCCTGTAAAGTTTCTTTTGAGAAATCAGCTGATAGCCTTATGGGAACTCCTTTGTAGGTAACTCTTTCCTTTCCTCTTGCTGCTTTTAAGATTCTCTCCTTATTTAATCTCAGGTAACTTAATGATGATGCTCCTTGGTGTGTTCCTCTTTGGGTCCAATTTCTGTGGGACCTCTGGGCTTCGTGGACTTCCTGGAAATCTGTTTTCTTCTCCAGATCGGGAAAGTTTTCCTTCGTTATTTGTTCAAATAAAATTTCAACTTCTTGCTCTTGTTCTTCTTCTGGTACCCCAGTGATTAGGATATTGGAATATTTAAAGTTGGCCCAGAGGTTCCTAAGCTTCTCCTCATTTTTTTTTTTTTTTAATTCTTGTTTCTTCATTCTGTTCTGGTTGGATGTTTATTTCTTCCTTTTGTTCCAAATGGTTGATTTGAGTTCTGGTTTCCTTCCCTTCACTGTCGGTTCCCTGTATATTCTGATTTCTTTCACTTTGGGTAGCCTTCATTTGTTCCTTCATTTGGTGACTCAAGCAGTTCTGTGAGCATCCTGATTACCAGTGTTTTGAACTCTGCATCAGATAGGTTGACTATCTCCTCGTTGCTTAGCTCTTTTTCTGGAATTTGGATCTGCTCTTTCATTTGGGCCATTTTTCTTTGTCTCAGTGCACCTGTTATGTTGTAGGCTGGCGGGGCCTTAGGTGTTTACCGGGCGAGGCAAGCCTCTTTGCTGCATTGTGGCATTGCTTGTGGGGGAGGGGTCATAGAGGGAACAATGCAGTTCACTTGCTTAGCCCCACTTTCCAACGAACTCTGTGTGTGAGACTGGGAGTTTCTCCTGCCGTGGCAACTCCATGGTAGTTTACAGCTAGCTTGAGTCTTTAGTTTCCCATTCAGACAGCCCCACCTCACTCACATGGTCTGTTGCCTTGCCACTGGTCCTCTCCACCTGCCTGGAAGCACGTCTCCATCCCTCCTGCTGGTCTAGTGAATGTTTCTTCAACTCCTTGGTTGTTAGAATTTTATGTAGTTTGATATTCTGGCACTTCTGGTTGTTCATTGTTTTTAGATTGGTTTTTATCCTCCTTTTGGTTATGTGAGGGAGCAAAGGGTTTCTATCTATGCCTCCATCTTGGCTGGAATTGTGAACTTTTTTTTTTTTTAAGAGTGAGAGGGGCAGTGGGAGAGGGAGAGAAAAATCAATTTGTTGTTCCACTTACGCACTCATTAGTTGATTCTTGTATGTCCTTGACCAGGGATCAAAGCTGCAACCTTGAAATATTGGGACAGTGTCTAACCAGCTGTGCTACTTAGCTAGGGCCTGTTTTGAATTCTTTTGGCTGTGTATCCAGAAATAGGATTGCTGGAATTGTATGCTAATTTTTAAATCTTTTTAAGTGTGCTGATTTTATTAAATCTAATTGAGGATCAGCTTGATCCAGTTAAATAAGCCTTATCATTAAGCATTGGTATGGCAGGTCTAGAGAAGACTTCACTCTGGGTTTTGCATCCTTGCTACTGAGGCCTGACTCTTCGGAAGGCTGTACTCAATGTCCTGGGTATGATGCAACCACTCTATTGTGACTGATGGGAACCATTCCCTGCATAGACTCCAAGAAATTTTTTGCCCTGCATGGACTCCAAGAAATTGTTCTTACTCCTTTGCAGTGACTATTTCTAAGATTCCTCTCACTCATGTGCAAATCAGTACTCAGTCAAATGTTTGAGGAAGTTTTCTGCAGTTCTCCAGAAGCTTCTCTCTGTGCACTGCTCTCCTATTCTGTCTCAGAAGTTCTAGTATTTATAGCTTCAACCTTCTTGAACTGATTTTTGCCTTCCCAACTTTTTTGTAACATTCCTTTACAAAAATTTACAATATTTTACCAAAAATATTTTGCAGTATTTCTTTTCTTTTTAAAGATTTTATTTATTTATCTTTAGAGGGGAAGGGAAGGAGAGAGGTAGAGAAATATCAATGTATGTTTGCCTTTTTGTGCGTCCCCTGCTGGGAACTGGCCTGCAACCCAGGCATGTGCCCTGACTGGGAATCGACCCGCGATCGTGTGGTTCGCAGGCCTGTGCTCAATCCACTGAGCTACGCCAGCCAGGGCTTGCAGTATTTCTTTAAAGAGTGTTGAACATTGTTCTGGAGGTTACTTTTGCATCAACTTCATCTTTCTGAGGTTTGATTTCAAGTGTTCTAGGTGTGTTTAGGTAGCCTTTACTGTTGAGCCAGTTTAGCTCCACTACTAAGATGGGACTTCCAAGATCTCTATTGAATGCCCATTAATTCAGTGAGGTCTCTTGCCAGCATCTGATGGGCACTAGATTGATCCCAAGCCTTGTGTGAGCTCCCAGAATTTTCTGTGTTACACCTGCTCTGAAATATTTTTTCCTCAGCAGTTGTTCTTTGCCCAGCCTCAAGGAGTTTCACCTTTCACATACAAGATTGGAATTTAGTCTAAAAGATTCAAAGGAGGAGCACCTATGGACATTTCTGGAGTTCTTTTTCAAGCTCTTTTCTCTCCTATTCACTGTCCCACAAATTTTAGCTGTCTTAGCTTTCCTGAATCTCAGTCTGTATTTCCTCATGAGACTTTCTTGCACTGTGGCTGAAAATTCTCCACAAATAGAAAGTCAGGGCAATCTAGCATTCTCCTAGTTTGTTTCCCTTTGCTTGTAGAACACAGTCTTGTGCTTCCTGTTGTTCAGTTGTTCCATCCCCCACCCCTGCTTTCCAGTTGTTTGCAGTTAGGAGAAGAGGAGTCCCAGAGCTGCAGAAATCTAGCCTTGACTTAATGATCAGACTGATTCCTTGTAGCAGTCCCCGATGTTCTTGAACGTAAAGGTAACACAACATCTGAAAATGGTTGATGATAGTTCCTTTGCTCCTAAATGTGGAGAAAACACATGAGGATAGAAACAATAAAGATCTATTAATGCTGCCAAGTTTGTAGCTCACTGAAAGTTGTTTTTCTAATGTAAACCACACTGAGGCGTTTCTAGGGACATGAAGAAGACAAATATTGTTCATTTCTTTTTTCCACAGAGCATCCAGGGGTCCCACTGGGAAAGGAAATAGTTGTGTCTCTGCCAACCTTTGCCTCCTTCTTATTCAATCACAAGAAATAATGGAGATCATAAAACCTGTGCCTTTGAGAGATTTCTTTGTTTGCCTGTACAGAATTGACAACAGCATACTCATGATTAGTAAAGAGTTTTCAATTATTCATTGGTTTAACAAAATATTTTTAAATGTCAACAATGTGCCAGGCACTATGGTAGGTAATAGACATGTGAAGATAAGTAAGAAACAGTCTCTAATGTCAGGGGGGTTATGAGAAAGTGAGTGAATATTTAATTATGATGCATTATATAACTATAAAATAAGAATGTATATAGGGCATTATGGAAGCAAACAGAAAAGATACCTAATCCAGTTTACAGGGGCATGATTCATAAAGTCAAATGCAGCAGAGAAAGCCCAGCAGAGAATTGAGAAACGTCTATTGGATTTTGCAATATGAAGATTATTGGTAATTATACCCGAGGAGTGCTACGGAAGCAGATAGAGTGGTTTGCATACTGAAAAAGTGGTGACAATGCATTAAGACCTCTTACTTCAAATGTGGATTTGAGATGGGAGACTCTTTCAATAATGGAGAGGCCATATAGTATCAGAGTAATACTTGGAGCCATGCTACTTAACATTTATTTGGAAGCTGGCTCTAATGTTCTTTAGTATGATTTTGATCAAGTTACTTAACCTATCTGTACTTTGTTTTACTTATCTGTAAATGGGGAATGAAGCTAATAGTACCCGCCTTATAACATTATTATTGGGATGAAATTAGTTAATACATGTAAAGAGAAGTCTGGTGCATAAAAAATACTGAATAGTTGTAGCCATTCCCATTATTATTAGGTAGGAGAGTTGGAAGGTGAAGAACATACCTTAGTGGTTTAGAAGGCAAAGTCATTTACTGACTACCTGCTGTGGGTTTAATTAGGACCAGGAATATCAAAAGAGAATATTAGACTGGGTTATTTTTTTTTTAAAGCAAGACTCAACTAAATGTTTTCTGTAAGATAACCATAGACATAGATAGATTAAAGGTAGAATAATGAAAAGAAAGGTAGACTACACAAACACTAATCAAAATAATGTTGTGATAGTTATATTAATACCAGATACAGTAGACTTCAAAACAAGGCATAACATCAGGAATAAAGAGGGACATTACATAATAATGGGTCAATTCTCCAAGAAGACATAACAGTCCTAAATGTGTGTGTACCTCACAACAGAACTTTACATGAAACAAAAACTGGCAGGCCTGAAAGGGGAAATAGACGGATCTACAGTTGGAGTTGGAGATTTCAATAAAGAAGCAGTAGACTGATGTAGGACACCATTGTGCCTGGCATGGGCCCAGTTCCCACGCGGAGATGCACAGGACCCATGCCCACGGATAGATTCTGCCGTGGGGAATCAGGCCTGCAATGTGCCTGGGCCACTTTGAGACTTGCTTTTGCTAAAACTCCCTCACCCTGAATTGAGATAGCAAGTGCTGACTGTAGCTTCCTAAAATCCATGCTGAAACTCCCCAGTATGGAGTGTAACCAGTTCAACTACTTTTTCCTTTTCATTTGCAAATATCCTTCTTCTGTGCTGTGATTTGCAGCATTCGCTCCTTTGTTTTTTGTAAAAGGTAACCACCTAAAGCCAACCTGTGCATAGTAAATGAGGACCATCATGTAAGGTGCCAAGAAACCCAATAAAGGCCTGTCATGGCCTTTTGGCTCCTCTTGAGAGCGAAGCCGCCCACCCTTTTCCTCCACAGGACTCGGTAGTCCGTGTAAATGTCTCTCCAACATCCACAATGTCACGAACTCTGAGAGCCTGGGTCTGCACCAGCTGGCACCCCTGAACAGGGACCCAGGGCTGTGAGCTATCATTGTGGACGACACACCAACTTGGTTGGAGTATGCAGGCAGCAGGCCAGGTAAGGGCCGATGACACCGAATGCTTTTCAGTAAGGTTGTAAGGGTATGTTGGATTTCAGAGGAAAAGGATTTTCTTCCTAGGTCGCCTTCTATTGTGACCACTTTGCAACTGTACCTTCTTTAGTAACCAGGAGCCTAGCTCTCTGTCCCAAATATTCTCCGCAACCTCTCAGGCGTGGGTGGAGCAGTTAAGAGCCCCAAGGGCAGTCGCTGCAACACTGTAAAAACACCCACAATCTGATCCCTGCAGCACAACTCCCAACTATGTCTAAGCTTGGGAGAAAGAGCAAAGATTTTCCCTTTAATTAGCTTTAAAAACATCAACTAGTTTCAGGACAATTTATAAACATTCTTTTAAGCTGCCTCTCATGGTCCCTTCAGTTTTACCTTTTCCCTCCATCTGCTGGCATAAGGATTTAAAGGTACCAATGGGGAGAAGGCAAAATCGAGACTGGTTTTGTGGCCACTGTGCTTGCAGTGGAAGGAATTTCAGAAAAAGGTTCTTTTATTTGTTAAAAGATTTCTTTAAAGGTTTCTGCGAATCAACCATGGGGAACGGGATCTCCAGGGTACAAGAGCAATATCTGAAGCTAGTTCAGCAGCGTTTGGGGGCTGCTCAATGTCTCCCTGATAAGGAATCTTTAGACTTAGTTATTTAGGAAAAAGTTGGGCAAAAATTGAAATAACACCAGGTGGTGTGAGATAAGACTCTAGGTTAATGTCTTGCTCCCTCCTTTAGAGGATTTAATTAGAAAATACTGGTTCGCTTGAATTTTCTTTTTGTTTTGAAAGGAACTGCTCACTCTCAAAGTGGCCCAGGCACATTGCAGGCCTGATTCCCCACGGGAGAACCTATTCGTGGGTGTGGGTCCTGTGCATTTCCTAGTGGGAGCTGGGCCCACGCCACGCAGAATGGTCTCCTACAGACTGGAAATTATTAAAGATACAGAAGGTATAAATAACCCTATCAGTTCACTTGACCTAACTGACATTTACAAAAAACTTGACCCAACAACAGAATGCATCCTTTCAAATGCATATAGAATATTCACTAGGATAGACCAGATTCTTGGCCATGAGACAAATTTAAAGAATAAGCCCTGGCTGGTGTAGCTCAGTGGATTGAGCATGGGCTATGAACCAAAGGGCTGCCAATTCAATTCCCAGTCAGGGCACATGCCTGGGTTGCAGGCCATGTCCCCAACGGGGACCACATGAGAGGCAACTACACACTGATGTTTCTTTCCTTCTCTTTTTCCCTCCCTTCCCCTCGCTCTAAAAATAAATTAACTAAATTTAAAAAATATAAAAAAGAATAAAAATTATTCAAAGTATATTCTCAAATCAACACAAATTATAAATCCATAGCAGAAAGATACATGGCAAATCCTCAAATATTTGGAAATTAAATGACTTTATAATGGTCAGTTTTCTACTGATGCTGTAACATATTACCACAATTTTAGTGACTTAAAACAAATTTGGAATCTTACAGTTCTTATAGGTAAAACATCCAAAATGGGTTTCCCTGGACTAAAATCAAGGTGTTGGAAGGGGTGCATTCCCTTCTAGAGGATCTAGAAGAGAGTGTTTGCCTTTTCCAGCTTCCAGAGACCACCTGCATTCCTTAGAGACCATCACGATTCCTTTCCTACATCTTCAAAGCTAGCAGTGGTGGATCATATCACTCTGACCTTGTTTTCCTCATCACATCTCCTTTGCTTTTGGCTTCTACTTTTAAGGGTGCTTGTAATTTACTAGGGGCCAGCCTGGATAGTCCAGGATAATCTCACTATTCTAAAGTCAGATGATTAGCAACCTTAATTCCATCTGCAACCTTAAACCCCTTTGTGATGTAAACTGACATACTCACATGTTCCAGTAATTAGGATATAGACATCTTGAGGGAGGGAGCAAGGAGACGGGAAAGGACATTATTCTGCCTTCTAGGGTAACCCATGAATCAAAGAGGAAGTCTCAAGGGAAATGAAAAAAAAAATTTCTTTTTAACTGAATGAAAATATACCATTTAAAATATTGGCTGCACTACTACAGATACTTATAATAAAAAAAGAATAAAGATCTAAATTAGCAATCCAAGCTTCCATCTTAAGAAACTAGAAAAAGAGCAAATTAAACCCAAGCAAGTAGAAGGCAGGAAATAAAGAGTAGTAGAAATCAATAAAATTGAGAAGTGAAACATAGTTGAGAAAAATCAATGAAACAAAAGCTGACTCTTAGAAAAATAAATCGGTAAATCACTAGCTAGCCTGACCAAGAAAAAAATAGAGCATATGTAATATCCGATATTAGGAATAAAAGAGGAGGATAACTACAGACCCACAGACACTAAAGGATAATAAGAGACCACTGTGAACAACTTGATTTAGGACCAGAAGCAAACTGGGAAAGTTTCCAAGAATAAGTAAAAGGACACAGGAGGAAGCTGAAGCACAAAAAGTAAAAGAACTGACAGGTAGTCTTGAGGATGAAGCTGATGACTGTAAGTTTGTATTGATGCACAAAATCTAGGTGGCTCAAGAGAATTTTTACAGAACTTTCCTTGAAGGTTGGTGTTTTTGGTTGATGCACTTGAAATATAAGGGTATGAGAGAATCAAGGATGCTGGTAAGAGAGAGTAGAAGTGCTCAGGATGGAGTTCAAATCTATTGATGGTGTGAGGAAGCTAGAAATAGGAGGGATGGAGAGGCCACGAGAGGGACTGATGGATGACCTGGGGCAGGGATGATTTTCTGTATCGCAGCCCCTCTGTAGATGTTTTTCCCTCAGCAGATGTTCTTTGCCTAGCCTCATGGAGCTTTGTCCTTTGCACACAAGATTGGAATTCAGTCTAAATGATTCAAGAAAGAGACCCCTATGCAAA